TGAGACGGAGTTTCACTCATGTTACCCAGGCTGGAGTGCAATGGCGCAACCTCCGCCTCCTGGGTTCACGCAATTCTCCTGCCTCAGCCTCCTGAGTAGCTGGGATTACAGGCACGCGCCACCACATCCAGCTAATTTTTTGTATTTTTAGTAGAGACGGGGTTTCACTATGTTGACCAGGATGGTCTCGATCTCTTGACTTTGATCCACCCGCCTCGGCCTCCCAAAGTGCTGGGATTACAGGCTTGAGCCACCGCGCCCGGCCCGAAAACAATATTTTAACAAGTCCTACTGCAGCCGAAAGTGGTAGCCCCAGAACTGTGGTTTCCAGTTTGCTTTTTAGCCCATCTTTTAGTTTTTGCCCAAACAGTGGACATTTATCATAAGGGGCCTTGGATGAGTCACATGTCCCTTCAGTCTGTCTTTATAAGCCGCCTTCCATGAGAGACTTTTACAAGCTCTTAAAATGGAGGCAGCTGACCTTCTTCCTCCTGCAGGTCCAAGGAAACCAGGTATGGGGAAGTCTGCCTCTCCACTGGCCACCGCGCCACTGTGCTGCAGCCTGGGTGACAGTGTGAGATTCCATCTCAAAAAAAAAAAAATTAGGGAAAAATGAATGCATAGAGAGCAAGTTCTGTAGACTGGGAAGTACAGAAACGGGTGGGGTCCCAGTGTGGGTGCTGTACCGGAGGAGGAGCCCCTGTGCCACCTGCTGTGTGGTGTGGGAAGACTCTCTGGAGCAGAGAGATGAGAGCTGATTCCTGCAGGATGGGCCGGACCTCGCTGGGGAAGAAGGAAGGGAAAGGCGTACTGGGCCGAGGGAACAGCATGAGCAGAGGCACAGAGGTCTGAAACATCGTGGTACCTGTCGGGCATTATCAGGCATGGGCAGAGATGACATTGGCACCCAGGCCTTCTGTTTCCTGGTCTTGTGTTCTAGTCAGAATGGAATTTATCCCAGCTTTCTGGAAGAAGCTGGTCCCGTTATTTTACTTACAATATCATCTTCCCTTATTTATTTATTTTTCTTATTTTTGGAACATATTAGCAATTCTCAAGACATCTTGCTGGAAGTATCTGGGGTGAAAACCAAACCATACACAGGGTCTTAAAACGTTCCATTTACAGCCAGGGGCAGTGGCTCACTCCTTTCATCCCAGCACTTTGGAAGGCTGAGGCAAGAGATCTTCAGAGGGCAACCACGTTGCAGGCAGAAAGCCTAGCCTGTGCAAAGGCCCTGGGGTCGGGGAGGACCTCAGATTCTTAGTGTCCTGTGCATTGAATACTGAGCTGGAGTGCAGTGGTGTCATCTCGGCTCACTGCAACCTCCACCCACCGGGTTCAAGCAGTTCTCCTGCCTCAGCCTCCAGAGCAGCTGGGATTACAGGCACGTGTCACTATGCCAGCTGATTTCTGTATTTTTAGTAGAGACGGGGTTTCACCATGTTGCTAGGCTGATATCAAACTGCAGACCTCCAGTGATCCACTCACCTTGGTCTCAAACGTGCTGGGATTCCAGGCGTGATACACCACGCCCGGCTCTTTCATTTATTTTTTACTTTTCCTATATTCAGAGCAAGGTAACAAAAAAATAAAGTTAATGGAAATTTATTTTCCGGCTGGAGATTCTTGGAGGAAAAACAGGCCAAAGTTCCTCAGGTGGTCAGTATTCTAAGGCAGATTCACGAGGCTTCCCTATAGCCACAGGTGTGGGCTTTGTGGAAAGGGATTTTTGTTTTCCCTGTGTGCAAAATGTGCAGTTTGAAGCCCCAGAAAGGGGATGGAAGCCACTTGTGTGTGTTCTCTCTTTCCTTTTCGGAGGTCTGAGCATGTGCTCAGAGGAGCAAGCATTCTTAGACCGTGATGTAGGCAGATTTTGTTTCTCATCCACAGCCTTTTGCACACATGTCACACGGCATCAGCCACCCGGGGAAATGTAGCGAGGTCACTCGAGTCTGTTCCACGTGAGTTTACACTGTAAAGTGATTACAGGACTGTCTGCTCCAGGAGGATGGGCAGACATTGGAAACGGAGAGGAGGGGAAAAGAAAGAGTAGATTCTTCAGCTCAGTTGTTCTGTGGCTTCACCCCACTCTTCCAAGACTAACCTTCAAGACATGGCCTTCGGGGCTGTCCCTAGCCTCATGGCTTTGCACTCACAGGACACTAAGATGCCGGGTCCTCCCCGACCCCAGGGCCTTTGCACAGGCCAGTCTGCCTGGAAAGTGGTTGCCCTGTGAGGATCTCTTGCCTCAGCCTTCCAAAGTGCTGGGATTAAAGGCATGAGCCACTGCCCCTGGCCCTAAGTTTAACATTTTAAGACACTGTGTATGGTTCGCTTTTCACCCCAGATACTTCCAGCAAGATGTTGTAAAGACTGCTAACATGTTCTAAAGTGTGCTTTGAGTCCTTCAGGAAAAAAGACAGGAGTCTGGTGAAAAGGCGATTCAGGACAAGAAGGAGGGTTAGGATGACATTTTCATTTCAGTGCACTCTGGGAAGCAGCAGGTCCCAATCCCTTCACTTTCCAGTTCCCATTTCCCCCCTCACATCACACAGGATCCACTGCTGACTTGGTGTCCCCCACATAGCGCCTTTGGGTTCTTGAATACTGTAAAGCGAATAACAAAGTGAAGCTGACCGGGCGCCATGGCTCACGCCTGTAATCCCAACCTTTGGAAGACCGAGGCGGGCAGATCGCCTGAGGTCAGGAGTTTGAGACAAGCCTGACCACCATGGTGAAACCCCATCTCTACTAAAAATCCAAAATTTAGCCGGGTGTGGTGGCTCACACCTGTAATCGCAGCTACTCAGGAGGCTGAGACTGGAGAATCACTTGAACCCAGGAGGTGGAGGTTACAGTGAGCCAAGATTGTGACACTGCACTCCAGCCTGGGTTACAGAGCAAGACTTTGTCTCAAAAAAATAAAAATTTTAAAAAAATGAAAAAAGTGAAAGTTCGTTTATCCACAAACCAGTATGTTCTGCTCCATATATACCTTCCACCCAAAAAAACACCCTCTGCAAAATGCAAGCCCCTAACCAATTTGTCTCTATTTTCCTCAGGGGGCACTTAAACTGGCTTCAACTAGATCGAAGAGTATTGGAACACGACTTCCCTAAAAAGTCAGGACCCGTGGTTCTATACTTTTGTGTCAGGTATGTACACCTGGTGTCCACACTTTTGCTTCTTTGTGTTCTCTATCAGAAAACTCTGGGAGGGCAGAGTGATTCCGAGGAATCTGGACACCCTCTGTCCAGAAAAGAACAGAGGAAAGGGCGCTCAAGTTTGTCTTGGATCTTCGCCGGTGATAAAGGTTGTAGCAGAGCTGGCGTGCCTCACAGATGGAAACGCAAGGTGCGAGGGCGCAGGGTGTGTCTGTGAGTGTGCAAGGACATGTGTGTTGTGTATTTGCACTAGGATGTGGGTGTGGAATGACAAGAGAAAACTTTTTTCTGCATTTTTGGGGAGGCTCATGCATCTCCAACAATAAGTCTCTATAGCATAGGCCATGGGATTCTTTTTTGGTGGTAATTTGAAATGATGTAAAAAAAGCCTTTGTATTCTTTCCTTTTTGAAGGGATGCCACTTGAATCTCTTGAAATGTGGGGAGTTTATCCCAAATAGCAGTAGTCAAAACCCAGCAGCAAACCAAAGGCCCATATGCATTTCCTGGCAAGGGAGGATACAGCTTAATAACATTGCAGAAACAATGGGCATTTTTCTATTCATCAATCTAGTCTAAAAAATTTTGTGCTTGCAGAGGGAACTATTTGCGGGATATAGTGATTTAAAGAGTTAATATTTGCAGCAGGTTTATGAAGACAGCAGGACTTGTAACTTCTGTTTGCAAAAGGTTGTGAAAAGCCAGAGGCTGGGAAAGTCGGCGGTTCAGGGGCAGTCTGATTTGGTAGCAAAGTCAGAATCTGAGCCCTCAATCCAGCAGCTCCTAAACACCCAGTCTATGAAGCCACCAGATTCTTTCTTTCTAGAACCTTGACTGCAACACAGTTGCAGAAGCATTGAGGTCTTGATGCCTTAGTCTCTACATGGACTCTAATACCTGTGCCCAACCCATACACCCTGTTCTTTTAAAATACGCTAACAGAAATTCAGGAGCGAGATACAAATGATAGGCAATTCTGTCATTCCTAAAGAGCATGATCAGGAATGCAGCTCCAGACATAGCCATCCTTAAGCCACACAACGCATCAGAAGAGCTTAAAACAAGAGTTAAAGGGTCCACTTAACAGGCTCAAGTGTATGACTTTTCCTCAGCTGGCCGAGTAAATTTCAACTTGATGTTAATTCGTTTTTGATTTGTTTAACAGCTGTGAACATATTCAGTCTCATCTTAGCTATTTCCATTACTAATGGGAATGATTTCAATGCCATATTCTCTTTAATGGTGTATACAGTTTCTCAGATTAATGGAAAAGCAACCATATAAAACAAAGAGTAACAATTCCGCTGGGAGGGGCAGGTGGTATCAGGTGGGACTTCTGTGGAAGCAGGTCATTAACCTGTCATCGCAGGTGGGTGAGTGCATTTACCATATATCAGGCACTCTCTGCCTCCCTGGTGGTTTTCACCAACATGAGCCAAGAAGAGGAAATCCTGGGCTTGGCTGCATAGTGGGTGTTTTTTCCAAGTGTCTGAGTTATTTGTGGGAGTGCTTGCAGGAGAGCTTGGGGCATCTTGACACTGATGGTGGAAGTATTGGTCTCTGAGATCCACAGATCTTTCCAAATCATACCAAGCCTGTCTTGTCTGCATGAAAGCAGGTAGCCCAGCATTGCAGAGGTGAAATAGGTGCTAGCAATAGAATCAGGGAATGGGATGGCTGAAGACCCAGATACAGCATGCACTTCTGATCCACAGCCATCCTAGATGCTTCCACCATCACCACCCTTTTTCCTAATTGGACAAAGCAGGAACCTCACAGAACACTCATTAGAGAGAAAACTTCCAAATCTGCAGTTAGGGACAGCCATTCTCCACTATGTTGTTATACGTACCGTCTAGCAGAACGCTTCTCCTCCTCTAGCTCCTATGGAGGCAGATCTTTCTGGAAGGTGTCACGTTCCAGTTACCTCCTGCAGAGCCCTACTGGAGTACTTCAAACTCAGCAGGTCCAAAGCCAAATTCATTATCTCTGTCTCCTCCCTTAACCTTCCACAGTCACATCAAATCTATGGTATCCTCATCCACTCAGTCACACAGGCTGCACATCTTCAAGTCTTCATTCCTCTTCCTTGAATTTTGTTTGTTTGTTTGTTTGTTTGGTTTTTGAGACGGAGTCTCGCTCTGTTGCCCAGGCCAGAGTGCAGGGGTGCGATCTTGGCTCACTGCAATCTCTGCCTCCTGGGTTCAACTGATTCTCCTGCCTCAGTCTCCCAAGTAGCTAGGATTACAGGTGCCTACCACCACACCCAGCTACTTTTTGTATTTTCAGCAGAGATGGGGTTTCACCATGTTGGTCAGGCTGGTCTTAAACTGACCTCAGGTGATCCACCCACCTCGGCCTCCCAACCTAGATTTTGTTTTTGTTTTTGTTTTGTAGCCAGCAAAAGCCAACCTAGAATTTTTATGGGCATTAATTCTCTGCTGCTGCTTACAAAATCTCCCTCTGCACTGCCCTCTCCTCTTTGTTACCTGAACTCAGGCCCTCACCTGTCCGTCGACCTATTGCCGCAGCCTCCAAGGGTAGGGTGGAGGGTGTCACTGGGGTCCCAGCCACAGAGGGTCCTGGCACCCTCACTGTCCTGAGTTCTCACTTCTCAGCTAGTCGAGCAGTGTAGTAACAAAAAAACAGTCATTCTGTTTTCTCCAAGAGAAGAGGCAGATTCTCTATATAAGTTAATTTCATCTTTTTACCTTGCTTTTCGTCCTGGGAAGAATTCTCTGTTTATAACCCAACACCTGCCTAGGGATGCTCACAGGCAGTTTTCTCCAAAGGAGCGGTAAGAGAATCATCTTCGTCAAAAGCCCAGAACTTGGAATAGCTTCAGTCCATAAAAGAGCTTCTGTCCAGCTGGTACCTTTCCTGTGTGTTTCTAAACAGCAGCATGGTTAGGCTCTGAGCAGCCTCCACGCTCCAGCCGTGACTCCTGTGGATCTTGATGCAGTCTGGCTCCCAGGTTCCTCAAATCCTTTCTCCTTTGGTATAAATGTCTGTATATTAGATCTACGTACCACATGTCCAGGTGGCAAAGCAGAATCGAACCACCTGATGAAAGAGAGCCATGGGAGACCAGGCATGGTGGCTCACACCTGTAATTCCAGCACTTTGGGAGGCCAAGGCAGGTGGATCGCCCGAAGTCAGGAGGTGAAGACCAGCCTGGCCAACATGGTCAAAACACTTCTCTACTAAAAATGCAAAGATTACCCGGGCATGGTGGCATGTGCCTGTAGTCTCAGGTACTTGGGAGGCTAAGGCAGGAGAATCACTTGAACCCGGGAGGTGGAAGGGAAGTTACAGTGAGCCAAGATCGTGACGCTGCACTCCAGACTGGGCGACAGAGTGAGACTCCATCTCAGTCATAATAATCATAATAATAATTATCCAAAAAGGATAAAGGTTGGAGAGACAGGCACTATCCAGTGCTCATCACCTGTCCATTGCTAAGGGTGATTGTTAATCTTTGCAGCAACCCTTGAAGCAGGTCTGATTATTCCTAATTAAAGAGAAGGAGATGGGATCCCGGGATGATCCCTAAATTCTTCCCCAGCATGGCTAATAAGTTACGGAGGCAAGATGAGATCTCATCTGTTCGGTTATGTCTGCCCTCCCCACTGCACGGCATCCGTCTACACAGGGGAAAAGTGACAACCTCACTGTGGCCAGCGATCTCCACTGCTCCCTCTGCAGGCAGGCCAGGAGCAGCCAAGTCAAAGGCGGTGACCCCAGCCCTCCTTGTCACCCACACTTTGCAGAACCAGTGTCCGCCTGCAGAGATGGTGTTCAGGACAGGCGCACACCAGCACCAGGGACAGAGCCTGCCTGGTTCCGGCACTACCCAACCCAGAGCTCCCCTGGCAGAGCACCCCTGCATGGGGACAACCACAGTCACAGGTCTTGGCAGGCCGCCACTCTGAAGGGATATACTGGATCTCTTGGAAATGTCTCATAGAGGAGGAAGAGCCATCTCAAACGGTAAAGCAAGGATTTTCAGGAGCCGAAACATCTGCTGTTGGTCCCCCTTAAGAGGATCTTGCCATTTTCTGCATTTTCGGACACAGCGGACACCCACGGGAAGGTGTGCTTTGTTGAACTGTGCTCTTCCCTCTCCTAGAAAGAAAACTCCAGGGTCCACTTGCACCATGTCATCACCCTGAGCTGTGTCACACTGACACTGACACTGACGAACCCAAGTTCACCATCATCCCAGCTGTGGAGTGCAGCAGCTTTCTCACCGCTCCTCCTGCGCCGTTTCTGCACCATCATCCACGCCCTCATTTCTGGCCTCACAGATGTCCCTTGAGATGTCCTTTGGTAGAAGCACTGCTCTAGGAGCCAAGGACAAGGCAGTGAACAAAACTGATAAACCCTGTTCTCAGGCAATTTCACATCCATTTCCTCTAGCTTCTGAGATCCTATCAGCCCTGCCTGTTTTTTTGTTTGTTTGTTTGTTTGCCAATTCAGTGCAAATCCATTGTGCACCCTTCCAGCCACTTCTTGGCCCTGGACCACAACTTCCTTTACTGCTCACACACACACTCTCTCTCCCTTTCTCTCTCTCTCTTACACACACACCCTCCCAGGGTTGGACAGGTCCTGCCACACACACACCTTTTATTTCTACCTATGAGCTTCTGAGTGTGGTCAGGAAAAGGTTGACGCAACTTCAGGTTGGTTCATGGTCATTGTGATGAATCCCACACAGATCATCAGTGTTTCTAGCCAGGTCTGCCCGGGTGCCCGCTCAGGATCTCTGTTCCCCACTCTGGTTTTACCTCTTGCTGCAGGCTCCAGATACTCAAGGCTTTTGCTCTAAGACAATGGTGCTGCTTATGTTTCTGCAGAGAAAACAACAGCCAGCAGCACGGAGCTCCTAGTCCTCCTTCTTTACCCACAGACTTAATTATATCTGTAATTGTGTTTTTGTGGGCTCCCAATCCACCCACTGCACACCCACAAATGCATGAGCATCTCAGA